TTTGTAGTACTTTCCAAAGTACCAGGATGCTGGAGGGCCCTAAATTTTCAATCCTGTTTTCAGCTGGGAACAGGGTTTGTCCTCGTAAAGTTCCCCGGCGACGCGTGGGCGCCCAAATTTAAATGATGGACGAATGCGTCAAAATTGCCGAACCATCCCCACTGTTGCGAGGTTCTTTGGGGTTAATAATTGATAAGATACAATGTCCTTCGTTTTTCTTGAAATATGTATTTACAAAAGAAATCAAAGAGTTTATATGCTTATACTCAAAAAGAAAACTTAGTTAAAAAAAATGGAAGACAGGAAAAACGTAACAGTACCATGTCTTTGAGTCACCATGCGCAGCAGCGGGTCCTGAGTCTGGAGCTGTCGTTGTCGGCCCACGGTTGTGGTAGGCAGTCAGGGGCGGGAGCCGTTGGCTTCCGTCGATGACCCAAGAGTCACCGTAACTAGTGCTCGCGCAGTAGGAAGCCGGGCAGCGTAGGCTTCTATGCGCTGCCCTCGCTGGAACAGGCTGCTGGTCAGGCAGTAGGAGGCCGCTGATTCCCTGGCCGATGGTGTCGTTCCGACCCAGCACGTTCTCCCGGCCAGTCCTTTTCACGCCCTCCGTGCACGCGCTACCAATCTTTTCTCTTCTTCGTCATCTTCCTTGTCCCTCTGAGCCGATCCATGGTTGACTTGCACTTCTTTATTTGCACACTGAGTCACATCATCACACCCACTTTGAGACCAGTTTTCTCAAAAAGAATATGTTTTCGAGCATTTACCACAGTACTATGACGGGCTCGAGGGCTCTGGATTTTATACTTCGCCTGTAGCTGGTAGCTGGGTTGTCCTTAAAAAGTCCCCCGGCGAGGCACGTGCGGCCAAATTTCAAATAATGAACAAATAATGGCTAAAACAGTCGAACCATCCCCAGTTAGAGGTGTTTTTTTATTTTTTTTCTAAAAAGAATTCGTTTTTGAGTATTTGTCATAGTACCAGGATGAGCTACAGTGAGCTACATTTTCTAGTCCGCGTTTAGCTGGGAACTGGGTTGTCCTCAAAAAGTTCCCTGACGAGGCGCGGGTGCCCAAATTTGAAATGACTAACGAACGCCTGAAAAAAGTCGAACCATGTCCAATTTGAGACGAATTCCCGCAAATACGGCTCATTTTAGAGTGTTTCTCATAGTAGCAGCTTCTTGTCGAGGGCCCTGAATTTTGTATTTCATCACCAGTTAAGTTTTCGGCCGACCTCAAAAAGTTCCTGGATGATGTGCGGGTGATTAAATTTCAGGAGAAGAACGAATGCGTATAAACAACGGAACCATCCCCACTTTGCTACCTTTTTTGTTTCAAAAGTATTCACTTTGGAGTACTTAGCACAGTACCAAGATGGGCTCTAGTGCTCTACATTTGATATCCCGACTTTGGCTGGGGACTGAGTTGTCCTCAAATAGTTCCCTGTCGACGCGCAAATGCCATCTTAAAAAAAAGACGAATCCGTAAAAAACGGATAATGCATCCGCCATGTGAGAAGATGCTGCTCGGTATGCGTTGATGTTTGATGATTTGGCATGACGGACGCAGTTTATAAAATTATCATCTGCGTTTGTGCATCGCCAGCCTTGAGCCTTTTGCACGAGTGTTAACCTTGGCGCACCACCGCTTTTTCCATGTGCTGCGATTCTTTCTAAATTTTTACTGATTTATTGATTTTCGTTGACGTAAATTTGAACAATGTATTTATCTTCGCTACGTATCAATCCTCAAAAAATTAGCTCGCGACGATGAGCCCCCAATATATTGTCCCCCTGGCTGTATAACTTACGTGAATGTACTTCAATATTGTAGTCTTACCGGATTAAAAGAAAAAAAAAAAAAAAAAAAAACGATGCAAAAGCCTAAAAGAAGCGCCCTATACAACTTTTCCACAAGGGCGCAGCCATCTTGAATGCCTTCACTTCCGGTATGCGGTAAAACATCGTTTAAATCTTTCACGCCACTGGAAGGTGTGTACGAAAAATGTGCGATTGTCACACATTCTTGTTTTGCCTCAGCTATATTTTCCCGCATATTCCAGGTTAGATGTTTTAATATTTTTTTCGTTCCGCATACCACATACGGAACCCACGCGACTGAAAGCGACAGAAAACAGAAAACGTCTATACACATGATATAAATGTAATAAATTATATATAATAAGTAAATTATATACATTAAGTAGATGATAGAACACGTGAAGAAACATGACGAACGCCATGACTGTGCTCTTTGATGTTGTATAAATGGTTCCATCAGCTCGAGGCGTCAGCTGCCTCTGGACTTAAAGGTGAAACAAAGTATGGGCGATATTGCCGTCTGCGAGGCGGGTTGATGGGTATAAACGCCCCCAGTGGTTTCCCTACATACCCGCTAAGGGGGGGGGGGGGGTGTACAAACCCTTGTTTTTTTAAGGCACCCCCTTAATTCGCAACGACTCCTCTATTCTCAATTACCCCCCTAACCCGGTCCCCCCCCCCCCTAAAAATATAGACCCCCCTAATTTCAATTCCTAGGGAAACCCCTGAACGCTAATACTAAAGTAGAGAAAAGTTTAATAATTTTTGAGACATCGAAAAGTACATTGAAACTGGTCGACTTGTTATTTTTTTTGGATGATATTAATTGCTTTTGTGCACGTTTTTGTACAAAGCAAATGGGGCGCGATATAAAGCCTCTAGCAGCGAGTTGTCTTAATAATATGATGCAGTGAGTTAGAGAATGTTGCACTATGCACGTCAAGGGGACGAGGTGTACAGTGCGCGCATTTTAAAGGTGCAAGCAACGCGCGCTTGGATAGAGCATACTTTCACTTCGACCTTGTCAATGGATGCAAGAAGTGTGAGGTTGATCACGTGTCCATTAGTGATCATGCTCCTGTATCCTTTACGCTTTCTTCCTTTAAGAAAAAAAAACGCCGAGGATGCTTGTTTGAGATTTATGAAAATATAATGCGGAGCTTCTTAATGAATAATGGTTTAAAAACAGGGTTCGCCGACATCTTGATGATTTGGCAAGAGCTAATAGGGAAGCGTCCGGAATAAAATGAGAATTTTTTAAACGCGAAACTAAGATGATAGTTTTTGAACATCTCGTTCTTTTTTTGAAGCACGAATAAAAGACAGAGGGGAACGGTTTAAACGCACCTGATGAAGGAGGAATGCACTTCCCCCGGTTCGTTTTCTGACGAAATAATCAGTATAAAAGAGAGCCTTGAGGTTATTGTTACTGGAAGCGGTTATCGCCCAGAGAGATATTTACATAAAGGGCCATAGAGGCAAGAAGAACAAAACGTGAGTAAGACTGAGGTCAGTGAGATTGTGTATCAGGGGGTACGGTAGCGCGATAAAGGAATCATCGAACGCGGTTTCGTAGAATATTATAGAGAACATTTCAGTTACCATGCGCTCCAAAAGGTTTCCAGAGGGGTAAGTGGCCTTGATTGCCACAATATGCAGGAGATTTAAAAAAAAGGTTAGAACAGCCTATCACATTATCGGGCTTTGAAAATGCGATTGACAATTTGAAGCTTGGAAGAGCTCTAGGACCGGGCGGTTTGGGTGCTCAGTTTTACAAAGCGTTTAAGGACGAACTTGCTTCTTTTTTGCATTTCGTATTCAGTAGAGAATAAAGACTGAAAGCTTTACCTGCGTCTTTTTGTGTACTATTTTATACCAAAAAGTGAGGAACTCTCAAAACTTTGTTTTGTTGTGTGGTACCGTCTAAACAGACTAACTTAACGTAGACTATAAGATACCAATGAAAGTTTTAGCGGAAACTTTGCAGAGTGTTATAAACATTATCCTCCTCCTACAGCAGACGTGTGGACTAAGAGAGAGGAGCATTGTAACAGATTTGCATGTCACCCCGAGCATTCTGGTGCGTTGTGACTCTTTTGTTTGAAGAGTCGCTATGTTGCAGGCCGACTTAGAAAAACAACGTTCGACCGTGTGTTACACGAAATTCGTTTTTCTATAAGAGAGCTTGTTAAACCTGGGGTCTTTTTTTGTGGGACGGTGTACGCATGGCCTACCAAGACTGTGCAACTAGTCTTGTTGTAAACAAGTGTGTAAGCGAGCGTATTCGCCTTTTTCAAGGTGCGCCAAGGCTGTTCACTGTCGCCTTTGCTTTTTTGCATTTTTTTGCCGTCTCGTCTAAGTATTATCAGAGTGATTTCATTCGTAGGTTTAAGTTAGAAGCTACAGATGGGTGTATTTTAGCGCACGCGGATGGCGTGACGATTTTTGCGTGGACTCCAAGAGTGTCAAAAAGCCGTCGAGCTCACAGAGATGTTTTGCGAAAACACGAGTAGCTCCGTCAACTGTGTTTGGGTCTTTGGCACAGCGACTGGCCCTCAATGTCGGCTCTTTTTAAACGTGTTGTATAGAAAGAATCACCACCCCGTTATTTTGAAGTTATCCTCCAACAACACCGCAACAATGACGACTATATGCACCCCGCAGATCTAACTGGGCGCCGATACGGGCGCATCTCACGGCGATGTGACGCGTACTCATCGAGAAGCGACCTCAGCGGTCGCAGCTCGGCTGCGGTGGTACACCCGGGAGTGTACCACAGCAGTGAATATTCAACGTACCAGAGTTCATGACGCACTGGTTGGGCGATGCACTCCGGATGCCGTAGGACCAAGCCGAGAAAAGTTCCTTGATGTCGGAGGATTGAAGGATCAGACAGGAATCTATTTCACTGTACCGAGCACCACTGACATATAGAGGTGGATGCTCGGCAGTGTTGCTCGACTCACTCTGCCCTGTCGTCGATCCATCGTGGGCCGACCGCCGTCGAAGCGGACGCGGTGACGCGAGTAGAAGTCTGCATGTTGTCACTCTCAAGATGGGAGCAGGAGCGTTTTGTTTGCTGACCAGCTACACGACGTGTAAATATCCACACAACTTCAAATATTTTTGCAGGAGACTACTAGCAAGGAGAACGCGGGAATTGAACTCGAAGGCGCACCTCGGGGCCGGCATCAGGTGACGTTCGTGACCAGGTCTGCATCAGGAAGCTATGGTTCAGCTGGGCGCTTCGGTGACGTCCGACGACAGAAGGACAGCGACGCCCATCTTGGACTCGACCGTAAGTCAGCCTACCCCTTCCGCTGCTCCTGGCCGCCGTCGGGTGCGCAAACTGCTGGCAGCGTCAGCGATGACGCACATCCGGCAGGCCCCGCCCAGCCGCTCAGCGTGACCCCCGCCGTCGCACGTAGTGGGGGAGGGTAGGGAACAGGGGGGCATGAACGTCTTCTTGAATGACGGAAAGAAGATGCCCACGCAGCATACTGCAGGCATCTCTTAGCCCTCTACCTACCCGTTGTACGGCGAGGTCGAAGGGAGAGCTTATTGTTCTCGGTTGATACACTGCCACCGAAGGGAAGCAACGGTTTGTGAGAACAGGTCTTGGCCTGGTCCTTATAGTATCTGGATTGGGCTGCTTGCGTACATTTACCGGCCAACCACAGGGTGGGAGGCTCTAGTTGGAAGGCAAACCACGTGGTGCCACTTGTCGCCGGAATCTGAGCCGGCGACTCTTTGCTGCCAGCGGTGGCTGCATCAAATGCCGGGCCATGGACTGCGAAAACAACTTACTCTGTAGAGCCTTCGAGTTGCACGCATCCCCAGGAAAGCTCACGGAACGAGGCCGTTAAAAGGCCGCTCTGTCTCTATTGCGTTGTGCCGCTCTTATAACACAATGCGCTAATCTCGGAAATCAGCAGAAGCTCAGAGGTGTCAGCAACACAAATCTATACCGAAGAAAACCCTCGCGCCAACCACACTACAAGTGGTCGTACAGCGCGCGCGACCACTGTATGAAAACTGCCTCTGAACGCCGGAGGATACGAGGCCTGCGGCTTCTGGAGCTTTTTGGTTGCATTACGAGCCACTTGGCGACGTTACTGGCAGACACATCGCTTGACTCGCCCTGATAGTCGGACAACTCAGTGCCAAAGAAACGCGCATATTTACAAAACCAGGCTGTCCCAGCACCACTGACCTGTAAGAAACTCGTAGCTGCTAACAACATTCATCGTAAGGCCCACAAGGGTCCTCATTCCAACGCAATTTCCATGATGCAAAGGCTTTGAGGACGCCGCCGGATGCGGATGTCCTTTAACTAGGATAGGGTTGGCAGCGGAGTCGGCAACTGTCATGCAGTGGGGTGATTCTTGCTAGCGAAGCCCATCACCAGAGGCTAAGGGAAAAAAATTCTAGCTTCCAGAATTCGTTGTCAAAGCGTCTCCTGTGGCAAGACATGAATAGAAAATGAACAAATCATGACTCACTCAGGCTTCCGAGCTGGCTCTTAGATGTGGTTCCAAAATCCGGGCACCGATGGGATTCCCATTATGGCGGCTCACAAAGGGAGTCGGCCTCCCCGAGGAGGCGCCGCCATCTTGGCATGGCGCGGCGGAGCAGTGCCACAATAAGGATAGGTGCCATGGCCCCACGTTGGGGGCCATATTGTGGGAAGATTACGTACCTTTACGTCCGGGAAACGGTGCTCAAAGGGGAAGCCGATGCCCGTCCCACCGCCCGGCCGACGGCTACCAGCGAGGGCGGTCGCTGCGCCGGGTTCGCCAACACCATGCCAACATCGATGATCCCTGTATCCTACAGCGTTTATTGGGAAACAGGAGCCCCCATCAAGAAACTGCGGTCAAGCGAGCCGTGGGCACAGGGTGCCCACGGCGCCCGCCGACCTGAGAGCCAAAAGGGATCGCGAGCGGAGTCATCGCCGGTGGGCCGAGCTCACGCCGCTACCCGTCGTCGCAGGACTTTTGGCCAGAGCTCTCGGCACACGGACGTCCACTCGGAGGAGGGGACGGCGACTGTCAGAGCCAGGGAAAACGCAAAGCGTGGAGTCATGGCCAGTGAGACAGCTGTCATCGTGACTCGACCCGTCACCCGGAGTCCAATGCTGGACTCCTCGACCAGACGGCCGTCCACTGGGAGGAGGGAAACGCCCGGCTGTCCCGCGCGATCTCGCTGGTCCCCCGAAAACGGGAGACCCGCTGAGGAGTGCGCGAGAGTAGGCCAGCAGGGTGGCGTACTCTCTCCATACGATATGGAGCGAGCGGGTCGAAGCCAGACGGCTCCGGCCGGAACGTCCGCGGCTTACGCCTTCATCGGGGGAGGGAAACCAGCGGCTCCCAGAATGTCTCCTCACTGATTCCCAACTAGAGCTCGATGTTCTTACGTCCCGCGCGCTCTCGTCTCATCCTCTCCCTCAGTTTATTCTCGCATTACCAGGAAAAGAGTCTGAAGAACCTTTTCACATCTTCATTAAGATAATCTATTCTTTTTATATTTTCTATGGATTCAGGTCTGAATCCCAACTATGGGTATATTATAGACAAGGAAGCTGATATGTGGACGATTGAAAATGTCTCGGAAGCATTCTGTCTAGACAATTTTTTTCTACTATAAAAACTACCTATTGACAGCCACAAGAACGTGCAAGATATTTATTAACCTATAGTTTATTTATATCTTTTAGTTTATAATGTTGCAGGAACGTACGGATTTATATATAAGTGACCCACCAGAGAAAATATATAAAAAATACGTTGCTAGACAGTGGGAGATGCTTGAGCCTAGACTTATTTTCGTAACCGATAACAGTGTGCATTATCCTAAAATATGTAAGGTATTTCTTATTCAGCTACAAGTACCTCTTTGCTATGTCTGCTAAAGTGAAGTTGGAATGCAACAACCCTCGCATATACAGTAAACCTCCAGCGGCTACTACAACCAGCACCCATTCTGTAACTGAGAAATAGCTGATCATCGCCATCTTTACCCCCAGTGGTGGCTTCACAACTATGGTGCCTGGAACGCGTCTCCGACTGGTGTGTTCACCGCGGCCAAAAAAGTGGTCCCTCAATTTCCGCCTGATGACGTCATAAAAGTGTCATGCTGTCGCCGGTCGCGAACCTGGCGGCGCCCGAACAGTTGTGGTACATATAGCAGACGCCTGTTCTGCTGCAGGTCGCTCTCCACTGTGACAGTTCACGGAAGCTAGTGCAGCCGGAAGTTGGGACGCCTGGGAAGCCGTGACGACAGCGACACTCGCGTTCGCTCGTGCTTTTCGCCAGCATTTCTACGGCGAACCGCCAGGATCGCGACACGCTACAGCATGACACTCCGGCTTCTGTGACGTCATTTCTTGCCACTTGGGGACCACTTTTGATGTATGGGCGGGATAGGACGCTAAACACACCAGTCGAAGACGCGATCCAGGCACCATACCAGAACTAAGGCATTCCTACCAGTGTTGGCACGGCACCGGGGCCTCCTAAAACTTCGGCTGAGGTGAAGGAAATCTTACTTCATACAAGACTGCTGCACATGGCACAATGTATTTTGGTCGAAACTCTTAAACCTCCGACGTCAAGAAAGGGTATGGCTCTAGGCGTAGCCGCGTAGGCATATCTTGTGTAGTGTTATAGTGAAGCAGCTACTAAAAATGAATTGTTTATAATGATCGGGCATGTTGCTTGAGATGCCCCAAAGTGTTGATGTATTTTACAAAATTTTGATAATTTGAACGCAAATTTTAAGAAAATATAACAGTGCCGGGAAATGATATCAGATTTCTTCACTATTAGTGGGGCACTTGTCGTTGCCTTGGTTAAGGCACACAAAACAAGTTAGCGTGACAGCAATTTCTTTTTCATATATTATTAGGTGTTAACAGGCCAAATGCTGCGAATAATTCAAATTTCAATTTTGATATTAAGACAACCCAATGGCACACAGCTTTCAGATACCACAGTTACGTCTGGGATTTTCCTCTCTCCGCAGTCTAATGTGAGTAAGTGGGAAGAAATACTTTATAATAGTTTATGCAAATAAGAAGATGTCATTAGGCTGCCAATAAAAAAAACAAAATTCTGGAACCTGTGTTATATGTCGTTTTACTTTAAAGAAGACTCGATTAGAAGCCACCCTTCTCGTGTATGAGGCTTCGAATACTCTGTGTCGCCAAACGCACTTGAGCGATTAGGCTGTAAATACGCTTTCAGATAAAATAATTTACATGTACACATTTGCATAGTGCTAAGTAAATATTATATGTATGTAACTACAAGGTATGTTTCACTAGTAATTCGCCGAGAAACAACAACCAGAAACAGGACTCCGAGAAACAACTAAAGACGAAACTTGCTTTATTTCATTAAATGGTTTAAGGCGGCCATGAATGCTGGTGAATCAGGAAGGTCACGGGGGCAGGAGCAGGTGCAGCATTATTACCTGCCTGGTGAACTTCTTCCGTTAGGCGTACAAAGTGTAAATAAAAATATCTCACATTAAGAAATTAAGCGGCTTTGTGGTCATCCTATAATCCACAACAATTTCACAGATGTTTTTAATCTTGAAAAAAATTTGGGGGTGAAATGTTTTTCTTGGTTAAAAGGGGGAGGGCGCGGGGAGTGAGCATTATGATAAATTCCACTGGTAGATCCTGAGCGCTTTTCAAAATCCGCGAGGGAGGCAAAACTCCTTTCAGTGGGACCAGCTCCAAATCGAAAAGCGGAAGATGGATTCGTATTTTTGGAGCGATCCCGCTATTCTCCTGAGACGGCCGAACTTGACAAGCCAACCAACGCCTCAGCCGGCTGAGCCTTCCGATGACCAGTCACCACTGTCACTTTACCTGCAGAAATAACGCGCGACACAGGCCGGGCGAAAATATCCGTACCACCGAGTCCGTACGTGTCGCAAATAACGAGGAAGACGTTCGCGTTCGCTACCATCAGATACATTTGGGCCACCTCGAAGCGGCGGGGCACGCACAGTGATCGGCATCGGTTGAGTTCATATTGCTGGTAAGACTTTAATGAACACAGAAAGATAAACCCTCACTTGCACGGTCGTTGCGCTTTCTGTTCTTGCTCTATTGCTCGAGAAAACGCTGCGGCATGCAGTGTAAAAAGGTAAACAATCAGTGGCGGCCATATGAGCTGGCCTAACCTTGCGTCGGCCTCCTTCGGATTTTCTGTTGTTCTTTTCGTCCTTCTCCCTAGTAAAACATATAAAATAGCGCAACAGGAACAAGGACAAGAAGTAAACAGGACAGGCGCTACCTGTCCTGTTTACCCTTCTCCC